CCTATTTTTTGGGGCCCCTGTCAGTCATGGGCCCTTGGAATTGTCCTAACTTTTCCCCCCTATACGGCGCCCCTGCCAGGAGCTCTGGAATGAAAGTGTCAATTGCAAATAAAAAGTCCTCAAACAATATCTCAAAGGTATCCAGACTCATGCTGTCTGCATCCTCAATAAACATGTTGGCCCTGTAGGCAAACTTCACAGCTTCCGCGAAGGAGTGTGTGATGTTTTTGAGGTAGCCAGACATAAGTCTTTCAGAGGTCTTCTAACATTAAAGCCACTCTGTCCTGTGATCCTAGTTTTTGAGGACTGGAAGAATGGGGCACAGGAAGAGTTTAGAGGTCTAGTGAATGCAGCCCTTAATTCCCATCTCAGCATCATGCAATAAAAGTGTTTAAGTTGACAAAAAAGTAACTTAATGGCTGACTGGTAAATCTAGCAAAACAATATTCAATATCCTGTACTCAGTAGTCTGTAGAGGTACACAAAAGTCTTGTCTGTGTCTCTATCTCCCTCAGCCTTCTTAAATGAATCTGGTTCATCCACCCAATTCTCTCCACTCCTACTTTGTCCACAGGCATTACATTTATTCTGTCATCCTCACATGGACCGTAAATATGATGACATGGTACATATTCTGTTCTGAGCCCCTGTTCTGTCTCTCTATATCCTTTCTTTTGTCCACCTTTCCTCTGTGTGCCATGTGCTCCTGTAGATTAGAGTTGGCATTTGCCTCCTGAATAACCCAGTTGGATATTGTAAGCACGAGTGCATGTCCCAAGCTGGGGCCAACCTTAGGTAAACTGAATGCAGACTTGAGCCCGGCCACCAAGGAACTCTAAGCTAGCTTGGCTCGACACACTAGCTCTCCAGATTTTTGCAAATCTAAATCTCCAAGCCCCAGGTTTTGTCTTGCTTCGTAGAGTCTGACAAAGAGTTGGGGCTTTTTATTTTCTTTTTTTTTAGCTGAACATCAAGTGAAAGGTGCTTTAATAGCCTGTAGGCTCTTAAGGTATCTTTCTGCACTCAGGTTTTGATTGCCAGCCCAGGGACTCAGGCAGTATTACCATAGTTATCTCACTACACCACATGCCTAACAGCACTCACAGCCTCCTGAGCTGTCTGTCATGCCTCTTAATTTGCACCATAAGCAGATGAGTTGAAAAAGGATAAAACACCTGAACTGGGGTTTGACAGGGTCAATTTAGGAGGCAAACCTATAGCAGAAAGTTCACTGGTGACGTCGCCAGTGGGTCTTTCCAAAGCAACTCTTTTATCCCCAATTCATACACAAACACAGTATACTGAACAAAGAATTTAACATGCTTGACCATATGAACCATGCTATTGGTCATGGTTGAAAAGCTGTTTAATCAGAACCCATTCACACATTAACCAAGTCTGAAGCTGACTAGTTCCATTCACATAGCTGTAATGTTGTTTTTGCACTGGAGATTCAACCTGACAGGCTACCTCCTAGACTCCAGTGTATCATTATGATTTCTCATTTCATTATTCTGTTACCTAATAGTAAATGCAACCACTTTATTCTGTACTAGTGGGTCCTATTATCTTTGTGATCAAGAATAGCAGAAATTATTTAAATGGGATGCAAATTGCCTTACAAGCTACCTTCTTATATCTAAATTAGTGGCAGGACCAACTCTGTAGTAACCCCACTGTAGCTATAGTAACTATAGTCACAATAGCAACTCATGTTAAACAAGTTAACAATGTTGAGTAGTGTCCACATTAATCTCCATGTATTTCTGAGGTAGTTGCTACATTATGAAAGGCATATAATCTACATTGTTCAACGGAGGATCATATGTCATATTGAGCATTTAGCACCCATTTTTACCAAAAAAATGTCTATTCCCTTCCCTGCATTTTCTTATTATGTTTTTCCACCATTGTGTAAACTCCTTCAGACTCTCATGGGATGGATCTGTTTGCGGTCGCTGTCCATGAGTTTGGTCATGCCATCGGCCTGGTCCACACCTCAGCCATCGAGTCCATCATGAGACCATACTACCAGGGTCCTGTAGGAGACCCTCTGAAATACGACCTACCCTATGAAGACAAGGTCCGCGTCTGGCAGCTCTACGGTACGAGGGAACATGTAGTCAACTTGCTGTGTGTGTATGTGTGAAAGAGATATATGGGTGGAAAATTGACTTAGTTGCATTTCCATCAGAATTTCCATTAATAAATCTGCCTCGAGTGTTACAAAACACGCACACATGTGAAAAATTTATTTCAGTAATTGATTAGTGCAGGGAAGCTGGATAAAAACAAAGTGGCCATGTAACTATGAAGGGCGCCTCATAAATGGAAGTACTTTGTACAATCACTGCTGTATGCTTGAATACTACTCCCTACTTTTCTGCACCTGACTGAGCCGATGTCATTATCTACGGGACATACAGAATTCTGCCCTCATTGTTGACAGCATTATATCATTATGAACATGAAATGTATGCTACACTACTTGCTAAATTGGCTGTTCATCTGAATCTCGAAGATGTTTCTGCCTCTTCTCGATGTGCGATCAGTGCTGTGAAGTCTCAGGGTGTGTGTCTGTGTGTGTAAACATTGTGGAGACATACTTTACTCTTATCTGCATTCACAGAATTTTCCTCTACTCCACTGACCATGACTCATGAGCCTCTGCTGTAATTATGTGTTTTCCCGGTGCAGTGGTGGAAACACCCGTTTTCTGGTGACAGCTCAGCAGAGTGAAGATACAGAGGCCTCCTCATGCAGGAAGCAGCAACTGATGAGTTTCTTTAGAGCAAGGTTATTGATTTAATCCAAACATGGATGGAGTTAATTGAACCTTGTTGTGGCACGTGAGATGGCAGTGTGAGGAAAGAGAATTCTGAACTTGAAGAGGAGTGAAGGATGTCAGTGAACAAAGAAATAAAACACAAAATTGTTATGTGTTGTATATTCATTTGAGTTTGACCTTTTAGGAGTCAGAGACTCAGTGTCCCACACAAACCGACCAGGCAACCCCTCCCAGACGGCTGAACCTCCTGTCCTGCTGGATCTTCCTGAAAACAGATCCACTGTTATGTAAGTAGACGTGAAGATACTTTAATTATTCATTATTAACATGCAACAAAAACGATCTACTGTTATAGTGCTATTACTACACAGAAAAAAAGTCAACCTGGGCCTCTTCAACAGTCTCTCAGTCTCTATCTCTAGGACCCTACCCTAACATGACACTGCCTGTGCTGTAATGGCCAGAAAAGTGGAGCACAGAGGAGCGCTTGATGCTTGCTATACAGTCGACTCAGAGCACATCTTATTAGGACAAGTGCTGTTCTTTGATTCGTTTGATGGTTTCAGTTGGCAGAGGTGGATGTGCATATAAACGTCTACAAGAATCTCATATTTTTAATGTAAGCTATGTTTTCTTCTTTCAAGATGGTATAATTTCTTTAACTGTGCATGTTTACACAGCCATAGAAATGTGGACATATTAAAGTTGGGGCCATCAGCTACATCCATAATAATACTGTATTCTTAATAGGCCTCACGTAGGTGGTATTTATTGCAGGATAACTGTATTGGATCTCATTGTAGAAAGATCTCTATTTTCTGATGGTTCCCTGCACTTAATAATAACATAATTATATTGTACAAAAAAAAAATTTCTTACTTTTTCCCCACTTGCACTGAGAAACAATGTAATGAATCCATGCAGGAATACTCAACATGGATTGTAAAAACAGTTTTTTTGGAGCTTGATAAGAAGTCATGAGGTGCCAACAAAGCATATTAGCTAAGAGGCCGAGAGTGAGCTTGGGAGTGTGCCCGTCTAATTAAGTAATTCCCTAAAGCAAGTTGGGCGGCTATGAGCCTGTAGTTTTTCAGATTATCAAGGATAATTAGACTTAATTTTGTCCATTTATGTATTTTGAGTGTACATACACACACTCACACACAGGCCCAAACCACAAAGCACTAACCTTAAAGTAACCCCCAAGGGGTCCAACGAAAGACTTCACGAAAAAGTCTTAATTCTGAAGGTCTGTAATTCCAGTTTGTTTCAGAAAACACACATGTGAATGCACACACACAACAGTAAACAATGAGGCAGCACTGAGAAGGATGTTGAAAATAAACGGCAGGTAAAGTGGTGGGATAATTAACCATCTTTTGCTCCCAAGTTTCGGACTTCCACTCCCATCAGGTCATGATGTGTTAAAAAGCTGGATTAGACCTGACAAGGGCACCTGTACTGACCACTAGGCAGTGGTGTAGTGTTAATAGAGCTCTGAAAAGAGACCTTTGTTGGTAATATAAGGCCTGGCGGGCTCCCACTCTCAGCCCCGCGGTGCTAATGGCTTCATCATTGGCAGGCCGGCCACGTCAGCGCTTTAAATCACTTAAAAACCCCAGAGATAAATGCACCGAGGGACCTCACCGTGTCAGCCTGATAGCATCTCCTCTTTTGTTTAGCCTGGTTTTACTGATTCATGCACAGACACCCAGTCAGAGAAGCGTGGACAAAATTTTAATGCATAGAAAGGATTAACACATATCTCATTTAAAGGAAGTATTAATGGGTTTTGCAATAATAAACTTAACTTTTAGAGATATGAAATTATATGATACGATATGTCATTTCAGATAATAATTAACTCGTCAGAGTACAGAAAATGTGGTGTTCAAAAAGTGTTAATGTCCAGTTTTACATAAGAGGTTCTTTTTTTCTCCTCTTTTCCCCATCTTCTCTCCTCCTACTTTCTTCACATCTCTCTCAGGCTGGCGCGAGATGCCCCCGACAGATGCACCAGTCACTTTGATGCAGTGGCCCAGATACGAGGGGAGGCCTTCTTTTTCAAAGGTACGGAGTCACAAAGGGAGACAGACAGACAGACGCAAAGCTGCAAAGCTGCATAGCTGCGTGGGAAAAATAAAAATAAATTAGCTAAATGAGCGGAAGTCAGGGGAGGCAGAGCAAATTAAAGAAGTGGAGAGAAAAGGAAAAAGGATGAGGATGAGAGCGTGTGGTAGTTGTAGACACCCAACGGAGCCCGTTGAGTCCCGCTGAGAGACTGCAGTCCAAAAATTACATCAGGCTTTCATGCTTGCCCTCTGGAGGAATGACCCCCTAGCCTCCCACTGACAACAGAAACAAGAAACAGACCCACATACCCTCAGCAGCAGAAGTGTTAGCAAAATGTCCCGAACTTTAACTGACATTTTTAAAACCTTTTTTAACCTTTTATGTAACAAATAAAGTTTATAGACCATTGTTACCTGACACAAATGCTTAATCTCTTGAACCAGGACCACTCCTTGAGACACATGACTCCGTCTGTTATATTTGGGTTGTTGACTGACAGCATTATGTTATTCTGAAAGAATGTGAACCACAATTTTCAGTCAGCTAAAGGTAAAGATGACAATAAACACACTGCAGAGGAAAGGAAACAGCTAATGCCTCTTGATTAAGACCAATAATAAATGAATTCATAACATTTAATTAATTTATTAATTTATTCATTCACTCTTGCAAGATTCCCCTTGGGGAATGCATTAGAAATAACTGATAATATTGGCCAATATTATTTGCTATCAGCATCCTGAATACTGCTGAGCCTGCTAACCGTTCCCTTCCTCTTAGGAAAGTACTTCTGGCGACTAACAAGAGAGAAGCACCTGGTGTCTCTGCGTCCTGCTCAGATCCATCGCTTCTGGAGGGGCCTTCCAATAAATCTTGACAGTGTGGATGCTGTGTATGAGAGGCCTGGGGACCACAAAATAGTCTTTTTCAAAGGTACAGTACCAGCTGTTATCAGCCCTTGGAATGAGTCTTACAATGTACAAAAGGTTTGTCCGGTTCAGTAATACAGTAGGCATCTGCACAAATAAACTGTATATTTAAAACTGATTTGATAGTTCAAATACACTGTTTAATACACATGATTTAGTAAATACTGCATTTTAGGTGACAGTGCATCCAGAAGGTCGAAGACCACCAGACTTTTTAAAGTGTGACTCATTCACACTATAAGGAGGAAAGATGAAAAGAGGCAGTTCACACCTTTCTTCCAATGTGGCTGGCACTTTGAAGGGAATTATGACATTTTGTTTCTCTATGTGATAAGGCAGAAGAATTATACGTTTAATTAAAGAAAAACAACAGGGGTGCAGAAACAAGGGCAGCTTTCCTGGCAGAGAATGTTCTTTATTGGCTGTGTAACAAAAATATCAAAAAGATCCTGTACATATATTTCAGGTCTTTCATCTTTTCAAATGTATAATCTTAAGTGCACACACTGTCGTCTGTGTGTGATGAATAAAACTATATATTTAAAGGTCGATTTTCTATGTCCACCCTTCAGGTCTAAAGTACTGGGTATTTAAGGACAATATTGTGGAGGAGGGTTACCCTCGTCCCATCAGTGACTTTGGCCTACCCTCGGAGGGCGTTGATGCTGCCTTTGTTTGGCTACACAACGACAAAACCTACTTCTTCAAGGACAACCACTACTGGCGCTACGATGACCACCTGAGGCGTATGGACCTGGGCTACCCTAAAGACAGCACACTTTGGAAGGGGCTGCCGTCACAACTGGATGACGCCATGAGATGGTCTGATGGTGAGTAACCTTAAAAACATTTTCTTATTACATCATGGTCCCTCAGTGATTTATCTCTGGGGTTTGTTGGCTGGTGGCTGGCCTGCCAATGATATTAGCTATTAGCACCATAGGGCTTAGAGTGCGAGCCTGCCAAGCCTTATATTACCAAGATGATCAAAAGATGATACTGACACATTAATCCACTTCCTAGCCACCTATTGAGACCATGGTTGTTTCTTTTTTCCCAGAATATTCCTCTAATTCGTTCGGAAACCTCCAGGTACTCCCAGAAATTTTGGGAAATGTTGTCCCTCTATTGTGTCCTGGTTCTGCCCTTATGTCAATCATGTCCTCTTTACTCTGTGGTCAGACGAAACATCACACAGCGTAGTCGAAGGCTAGTGTTGGTCAGTAAGTGCGGTCAACCTTTGAACCTCTTTTGCTTTTGAATTAGAACATAAGGAAAGTAAAAGTTCTTGTATATAACACCTTTCTTGAGCAGGTGTAACAAAGTGCTTTACAATAAAAGGCAAACATAAAATATGGATACATAAATAACAATGATATTGTATCATAAAAGGAGAGAATACCACAAAAGCAGATGTCTCTCTTTGTCTTTCTCTGTTTCAATAACAGGTCGGCTTCTCTAAAGAACTTAAGATAGATGTATGTGGGATTGGAATAATAAAACAGCTTGCAGCTTTTTCAATATTCCACAAAATAAATGATCAAAACTATACCCCCAAAAGTTATTTATCACCCAGAGTTAAAAGGTGTGTAGAAACCAGTGACATATTTTGACCTCTTCTGTCTTTATTAAAAATGGATTATTAAGACTGATTGATTACAGTCAATGTATAAATGATGAATCACCAATGCCTGTTTCTTCCAGCGATAAATTATTACATTTCTCAGAGAAAAATAGGGTTGTACCACTCAGACCACTGATAGCTCTGGTATTTGCTGGGGCCTAAGGCAAGATCGTGCAATATCCTTCTCAGGGGAAATCCTCAAAGAGGAGAGGATTACGAGAGAAAAATGAGTCAAGGACGGAACCATTATGCAAGTTAGCACACATGCAGCCTCAAGTTTTGGATGAAGTTTTTTACGATAAGATCACGACCCTGAGTCAACTTCCCAGGAGCAGTAGAACACTGAAATAGGTGTAATCACCTGAATACAGCTACAGTGTGACTCTAAGGATTAATGTCTGTTTGTCCCTCGGTCCATCCACCACTCACATACAGACTGAAATATGAGTAACACTACTGAGCAAAATGCTAGCAAACGCATATAAGATGGTTATCAAAATAAACATCATACCTGCTAAACATTAGCATGCTAGCATTATCACTGTGTCTTGCTTACTTTTTTCATCCTTTTTATTTTTTTTGGGGGGGGGGGCTTTAATTGACCTTAATTGTTGATGACAGCTGAAGAGTGACAGGAAATGGGAGAGATAAAGGGGATAAAATGCAGCAAAGGCCCCTTGCTTACTTTTAATAAGTGGTGCCAATGGCATTTAGTGACATAATTATGTTTGAGTTGGATTACAGGGTTTGCATCTTTCATCTGTCTTTATTATTTTCACATATTGTTACTTGTGTGTCTGTAAAGACATTTCACATGATATTTTCGTTCACAATCAGCAAATATAAATGATTGTTATTAATCTTACAACATATTAAAAGCAGTTTGTATTAAACTTTAATGTATTAGTTTAAATCAACTTCTATCTCTCATAGATAAGACATTTGAGAAACACCTGACCTGACACCTGAGAAATGTCAAATTTGTCATCGTTCATACAGCGCATCTGTCGTAACATTTATTTTAATTTATTTTATGTTGGCAGTCTCCCCAGCTGTATGCATGCACAATTTTGTTGGCATACTGGCTGCAGTATGCAGATTAGAGGCCCATTTGCATTTGATCATTTTTTGTTTTTTTTTCACGTGTCGAAATAATTTCTTTAACCTTTTTATCTGTTATTTTGACGTAGCACACATGGTCTTTTTTTGCCAACACTGTGCCTCACACTCACACAGTCAAACACATTCACACTGGGAGCTGCCCAGTGTAATCATAGTGAGCAGCTCCACTGTAGCAGCTGAATGTCAAGGTCGCAACGCCTGTTTCCACCAAAGAATCATAGCTCATTTGATTACATGTGCATGTTAATGAGAGATGTAAGTATGAAGTGGTCCAACACTATTTGTTTGAGAAAGTTTGTGCAATATATTTATCCTGTTGGGCTAGTGTGTGTGTGTGTGTTAAGCTCTGAATGATACTAGGGCATTTTGAGATTTTAAAAATACCCCAAAACAACCAGCCACTGAGTCCTGAAATTTGAGGCCCCTCTCAGAGGGAGCCAGGATGTCCCTAATCCCCCCTGCAGCATGTGAATACAAGGAAGCTCTTTCCCTGTCAGGTGTTTAGTGGTCTGTGTTCTGTCTTCGGTCTCGCTCCAAGCTCTTTGATGTGTGTACGCACGTGTGTGTGTGTGTGTGTGAGACGAGGCCAATCGCACAGGCATGACTCTGCTTCACCCCCGGCCATTATCGCTGCAGAGCCTGGAAGGGTAGACTTGGAAACCTACACGCATAAACGCACATAGACAGACCATGGGGCCTGGGAACTGGAGCCACGTCAAAGCCTTTTCACCGTTTGTTTCAGCTCAGGATGAATAGAGAGAGAGAAGAGATGGGGTGAGAGAAAAGAGTGATATGACAGCAAGGAGGGGAGAAGAGATATGCTGACACCTCGTTATGAAAATAGACCATAAAGATGGGGAGGGATATGTGAAGAGAGGAAGGGAAGGGGGAATCCAGACAAGAGGAGATATGGGGACACCTGAGGATGAAGAAAGATAGTAAAGACAAGGGAAGAAAATGGAGAGATGTTAGAAAGATAGATGGCTTGACTCAGAGGACACATAGAGAAATTACAAAGAGACAGAGAAAGGCAGTAAAAAGACAGAGAACGGTTGCTGTGGAGGGAGAAAAAAAAGGCCATAAAGGGTATTAATGTAGCTCTAATGATGATAATAATCATAGCTGCTAACATCACTATGGCACTCAGGAATAGTTTAGCCTTTTAGTCATGGCCAGAAAAAGGTATCAGGAGAGGGAAATGAAATTTATCAGGCATGAATATTATCTTTAACCTGTAGAGGAAACCAGTCAACATCCATAATTGTAGCAGTGTTACATTAGTAGAATCAAACCTCTGTTACCATAAAGACAGCAGTTTGTCTGTTCTGAAAGGTTTAAAACCTAAAATCTAAAGTCTACCACTCTAACAATAGTAGTTTTTTAAGAGGAAACAGAAAAATTATTTTCTGTTGCTACAGTTTATAGACTTTATAGTTTTCCCCGAAAGGATAATGCTGGTAATATTCTATATTTAGGTTTTTGCCAACACATTTCAGGAAAAGACCAAAACAAACAAGGTAATGCTCATACATACTTGTTAGTGTGCTGAAGGTGCTCTCTCTGTTGTGTAATGAATCAGGCACCAAACCCTCACTTTTTGGCCCCTCGTGAAGCCACAGTCAGGCTAGCGAAGTGGCTGATAACACGGTGAGCTCAACAAATCTCTCACCAGCAGTGTCAAGCGTTAGTATTTTTCCAGTTTTCTAGCTGAAAGCCATCTTTAACACACAGCATGCAGAAAATACACTTTTTTCAAAAAATGTATTTTAACAGGTCAACCACCACAGGGACAGCACCCCTCAGATCAGCAGGAGCCCAGCAGATGGCGCTCATGAAACACACAACACACCCGTTCCAGTGGAGAACTAATAATAATATTAAACAATATTAACAAAAATAAAATAGTACATGACATGAAGTTGAAATTTTATGGAGGAGTAATAAATTAAATGTTCATCAATAATGGCAAATAATGGCCTGCTGATAGTGGTAAGGGGAATCTGCTACATAGCTAGGGCCTGTGCTATACAGTTCCATTGTTGTCCAAAAAATAATAAAAACACACCGATGAGCAAAAAATATGTTCCTTCATTACCAGGAACTAATTTTGAGTCAATCCCACACATTCTGTCTTGCTAGTATATTGTATATTGTAATCCACAGCTGAAAATAGTCCCCAATGAATCCACTATTTATTCCTGTTAAGTTGCTAAAAACTGCTGTGCCTGTATTTTAGGAAATGACTAATCCTTTAGTGAAATTGTACATTTTTGACCCAGTTTTAGAGATTTTACATCATCAGTTTGAATGAATGGGCCTGTTGTTGAGAGCCACAGACACATTGTTTGTTTTCGTCTTTTCATGTGATTTGTTGATAAGAAAAATATACAGTAACATCTGACTTATCCTGTAATTCTCTTGTGTCAACATGAAAAGTCCCTCAAGAGTAGAAATTGTCACAAATGTAATATCAAGAGAGTTTTGGCTGAAGAAAAGCCAGTAGTGGGTGAGATCTGACATTTCTTCACCACTTTTGACAGCTCCAAGACTTTTAGTCTCTGAGGAAAAGAAAGAAGAATGTGAAGAAGTTCCATTCAGCCCTGTGGCTTTGGATTTCCAATAATAGTGATAGATGGATAAAGAGAGTGACTTTGTGTGTTGTACCTCTACCTTTGTGAGTATCAAGGTCAGTTCTAGACTAAGAAAATGAGGATAAATAGGAAAGCAAGGATACAGTCAGTCCTCACTGCAAAGGGCTGCAGAGAGCGGACTTGAGACTTGTTTTTATGATTCAGGTAGAGAAATTATTTGTGTTGAGTCTTCATACATTCTGAGGTACAATGCGTGTATTTGCACTATAGAGCATACCTTATTTTATTGCTGCAGCCCAGCTTGAATATCCTCTTATGATTATAAACAGGAAATGGACTCTCACTCCTGTTTTACATTACCTTGCACATTTTAGGAGTTTTAATTGTTGCTCTTACTTATTATGAACATCAAAAGAGCAAAACCCTTAATTTTAAGAGCTACAGCCATCAGAAAGAGAAATTAAGGCTTTTAGTAAGAAGGGTTCAGCCCCTTGGTTCATTGTTTCCTCAAAGAAAGGGTTACCTACAGTAGAAGTAAAAACTTTTAGGCCTTATTTCTGTCTGCCAGTTGGAATTTATTATAAAGACCAATGCATAAAGAAATGAAGAGTACAGAGCTGCGTCCATGAAGCAGCCAGTTCTCATTCCTCTGTGTAGGTTAAAGAGCCATGCAGGCAATACATTGCTGCAAAAAAGATTGCTGCATTATTCATTTGGTTTAAAAAGTGATGCTTGAACAGATTGCTCACAAATTTTCTTTAGTAGATTGTCCACTAAGGGAACAGGTCCTTGACTGCAAGAAAACATTCAGAAGTAAACTGAATGCTTTAATCATTCTGTGTCCTCCATCCTATTTCCCCTCATCTCATTGTCTTCTTTCAACTCTTTGAAGAATGTGAGGCCCATATCTATATGATAATGTTCTATAGACTTTGTGAGACAAGCATTTAAACACCAAGAATATTTACTCCACAGTTAATGGCGAGCTTCAAGGCCATTAACAACGAGAGAACATTCTTCACATTTATCTTTCGCCTCCTTTCATTTCAGTGACTAGTTGAGAAAATGAATGAGCCTCAAACATGTAATGTTCAATGTTCTTAATACTTCTCTCGTCTTCTTTGTCTCAAGCTCCAGTTAATGAAGAAACTGAATAGTACCCATCCAATAGCATCTATATTATGTTTGGTAAGGTCAGGCGTAGGCAACCTATGCCTGAGCTTCGGTCTACTTCGGGCAACTTTCTCTGTATGTAAATTTAAATGCATTCATTATTTTGGTCCCATTTTTCATAACAGCACACAGCATTGTGGAGGTTATGTTCCTACAAAGTGGTATTTTCATTATTAGCACGCAGCGTTTAGTTTTTTCTTTTCTTCTGCTGGTGCCCATTTGGCATTTTGGTGACTAATTAACTTTAGTACCCTGAAGTGAAAGGACAGCCACAGTAGGGGGGTGTGTCAGTAACGATTAAGTGGTACAGTGAAAATTGCCGTGTCAAGAATGCCCACAAGGCGCTGCTGTGTTCTGTGCTTTTCAGCACACCCACAGAGACCCTACAAAATGGCGTGGCCCTTTAATGTATGTAATCCTGTCCAGATTTACGTATTCCCTCCTCATATAGGATATAAATGCACATGAATGTATCACTTCAGTGTAACAAAAGAAAACACTAGTAAGGCAGAATCTGTCTGGGTTCTTCCTCTAAAGTGCAAAACTAAATGCAGCTTCTCTCCAAAGACTCTAATTTAAGGTTCGTTTGTGCGAGCTCCTACTGGTGCTCAATTATCTAGTCTCCTCCAGTGCGGGTGCTCAATCTTGCAGCTATCACTAGGAAAAAGTTACCAGCTACAACTCAGCTATTCTGCACAACATCCATGTATATACAGGATACGTCTACCACCTTAGATTTGGTTCATATCATCCATCAGTCCCAAGTTGAATCATCGCGTCCCACAGCAAATACCAGCCACCAAAAAAATAAAAGCTGTGTTGTAAAATACTGATGTGTGCCGGGGTAGCTGTTATTTTCATATGGAAAGAACGGTGCCTACCATCTGAACACCGAACACACCGACTGCTTATCTAGTCTCGTGCCAATAGACTAGGGCTCGTCTTATGTGCAAAGCGCAGATCTGTGAAATGGCATTTTATGGAGTTTTTTTCAGTAAGGAGAGAACTTACACAGGTGAAAGCATCAATGGGAAGCAATAACAAATGTATTATACTATTTTCCACAGAATGAACGTCTTGTCTTTTTTTTTTCTTTTTTGCCAGAGTTACATCACCATTTTGTGGTAGTGTCATGGCTTAGATTTCAGAGCAGGTCTGATTTGAAAAAACACTTTCTTGCCGCAATAGATGGTATGTTCAGATGGTTTTGGGAAGGAAAAAAATGATTCTCCAATGTAGATGCAAGGCCATACACACCCTTTATGTGTCTTTTGTAATCCCAGCATGTTATATATTATTCCCACTCCATCTCAAGAAGGCAATAAAGCATACACTCTGTACCCTGGATCACGGATTCATGAACTGAAGAACCCTTTTTGTTTTATGTGTTCTGTGCTTGTTGGTTATTCCAGGTGAAAGCAAAGAATACTCCGTACCTGGTGTGAATAATAAAGTTTATATAGGCATGTAATATAATTTTGTGCTATGTCGTACACACACAAACACACACACACACACACTTATACCAACCCTGTGCCTT